GAATCCCTTTGTATTCCGCCACAAAGGAATTCTTTTTTGTATTCCGCTACAAAAGCAATCCCTTTGTATTCCGCCACAAAGGGAATCCCTTTGTAGTCCGCCACAAAAGGAATCCTTTTGTATTCCGCCACAAAGGGAATCCCTTTGTATTCCGCCACAAAGGGAATCAGGTCGCATTCTTTCCACAAAAGAGAAGCAGTTTGTATCACGGTAATTAAAACAATTAGACATGCTTCTAATTCAGCGGCCAGGGGACCAGAGGTTGGCTTTTTTTTTTTTTGAAAAAAAAAAATGTTTAATTTGTTTTTCATTTTTTTGAATTTTTAAATAGAAAAACAAGGTTTCGCTTGAGACTCCCGCCAAACTTTTTAAATCCAGCGGGCGTCGCTGGCGTGAAATTCCGAGGGAGTCTCAAGCGAAACTTGTTTTTTTGAAGAAAATAATAGCAAAATCAATGAAAAAACAGGTTTCGCTTGAGACTCCCTCGGAATTTCACACCAGCGACGCCCACTGGATTTAAAAAGTTTGGAGGGAGTCTCAAGCGAAACCTTGTTTTTCTATTTAAAAAATTTAAAAGATTTAGAAAAATAAAAAAAAAATAAAATAAAAAACAGCCAACCTCTGGTGTCCTGGCTGCTCAGTACAAGGCAATTCTAAAGGAATGGGAGGTCGGCAGGTTTTCTATTTTTTATTTATTTTGTTTTTAAATTTTTAAAATCGAAAAACAAGGTTTCGCCGGTGGGAAACCATCGGCAGCCGAATCGGGGGCTTGGGGAAACCCTGGTCTCCGGGCCGGCGGTGGGAAACCATCGGCGGCCGAATCGGGCGCTGGGGGAACGCATGCGGAGTTCGCGATTGCTAACGCTGACCGCTGCCCACGAGGGCTTCTTGAGGTTGTGAAAAGGGGGAAATTATGTGATTCTTACATCAGCCAAACCCGATGGATATATACAATTCTGAGGGGGTCTCAAGCGAAACCTGGTTTTAGTATTGAAAAAATCAACAAAAAATAAATAAACACCTTGGGAACCTCTCGCAGGTTCAGGCCGCTAAAGATCCCTACGAAAGGAATCAATGTGTAACCCGCCACAAAAGGATTCCTTTTGTAATCCGCCACAAAACGATTCCTTCTGTAATCCGCCACAAAAGAAATCAATGTGTAATCCGCCACAAAAGGATTCCCTTTGTAATCCGCCACAAAAGGATTCCCTCTGCAATCCGCAACAAAAGGAATCAAATTGCAATCCGCCGCAAAAGGATTCCCTGTGTAATTCGCCACAAAAGGATTTCCTTCTGTAATCCGCCACAAAAGGAATCAAATTGTAATCCGCCACAAAAGGATTGCCTTTGTAATTCGCCACAAAAGGATTCCCCTTGTAATCCGCCACAAAAGGAATCAAATTGTAATCCGCCGCAAAAAGAATCAATGTGTAATCCTCCACAAAAGAAGACAATATGTAATCCGCCACAAGAGGAATCGATTTCTAAGGCCGCCGCAAAATGAATCCCTTTGTAAGGCCGCCACACATGTAATCAATATGCAAGGCCGCTACCGCCCCCCCCCCTCCCCCCCTAATCGATTCGTATTGTTTTTCTATAGAAGGGGGCCGGGGCGAAGACGGGGGAGGAGGGGATCTGCCAGTGGCCAGCTGGACCTCTCCCCCCCACACCACCACCAAAACAACACGACCATCTTGCTTTGCCATTCTCATCATTCCTCCGTTTCCCCACGCCCAGAGGGAAGAAGGTAGGAGGGGCGGGAGGGAACGTGGGATCCTCCACACATTGAGTAATTTTGTGGAGGGCCTTTTTTTGAACATGGATTCTTTTGTGTGGATAGGTTTCATGTCAGACTATGTTGCGGAGCATACTCCGCAAATTCATTCCCTTTTGCGAAGGGGTCTCCATGTACCATGTATTGACTCCTTGTGGAAGATTTACATACTGATGGCTTTTGTTGACGATCCTCGTCGTCGCTCCCTCTATTCCCCCTCATCATCGTCATCAGGATCCCTCCTCCGACTCACTTTCAGCGTCCTCCCCGTTCTCCTCTCCTTGGCTTCCCCCATCTATCTTCTCTCTTTCCTCCGCCCCCGTCCCTTCTCCGACTTTCCCCTGTCCTCTATCATCCATATTCCGCCCCGCTCCTTTCCTTCTCCTCCAGTCGGAATACAATATGAACTCATTGGGAGTGCATTGATAATGCAGTAAGAATTGCGCCCTCTCCCTCGCCCACTTCGGATTGGAGCACAACGGGAATACAATGGGAAAACAATCGGAATACCGAAAGAATTCCTCCCCCCCGCCCCTGCTCCTTTCCTCGTCCTCCTCCTACAGCTGGGATCCCACAAGGAGGCAACAATCATGCAATGTTGATTCACTTCCCCCCTCCCATCCCCCTCCCCCAATAGAAATACAATAGGAATACAACACGAAAGCTATTACTACAATCGGGAATTCTCCCCTCCTTCCGTCATCTTCTATGGAAGGTATCTTCCTGGGCCCATCCGTCCCTCCCCTCTCCTCCCCCCATGAATTGCCTCCCTCCTTCCCTCCGTGCTCTTCCGAAAGGAATACCACATACAACAGGAACCCATTAGGAATGCAATGAGGATTTCCTCTCTATTCCCCCTCCCTTCCTCCAATAGCAGTACACTGCGAAGGCAATAGTAATGCAACGGCAATCCCCCCCCCTTTATCTCTCCATCCCTCGGCCTCCCTCCTCCTCCGCCTCCTCCAGTGGGAATGCAATAGGAGACACACTATGAATGCGTATTTGTCAGTTTCCCCAAGGCCCAGAGGGAAGGGAGGGGGGGCGTGGGATCCTCAACGCATTGAGTGAGTTTGTGGAGGGCCTTTTCAACATGGATTCTTTTGTGCGGATAAGTTTCATGTCAAACTATGTTGCGGGGCATGTTCCACCAAGTCGTTCCCTTTTGTGGCGGGATCTCAATATACCATGGATTGACTCCTTGTGTGGAAACTTTACATATTGATGGCTTTTGTTGACGATCCTCGTCTTCACTCCCTCTATTCCCCCTCGTCGTAATCGTCATCAGGATCCCTCCTCCGACTCCCTTTCAGCGTCCTCCCCTTTTCTCCTCCACTTGGCTTCCCTCATCTCTCTTCTCTCCTTCCTCCGCCCCCACCCCTTCTCCGACTTTCCCCTGTCCTCTCTCCTCCATATTCCGCCCCGCTCATTTCCTTCTCCTCCAATCGGAATACAATATGAACGCATTGGGAGTTACACTGATAATGCAATAAAAATTGCGCCCTCTCCCTCGCCCCACTTCGGATTGGAGCACAACGGGAATGCAATGGGAAAGCAATCGGAGTACCGAAAGAATTTCCCCCCCGCCCCTGCTCCTTTCCTCGTCCTCCTCCTACAGCTGGGATCCCACAAGGAGGCAACAATCATGCAATGTTGATTCACTTCCCCCTCCCATGCCCCTTCCCCAATAGAAATACAATAGGAATACAACACGAAAGCTAATACTACAATCGGAAATCCCCGCCCCCTCCTTGCCTCCCTCCTTCCCTCTGTACTTTTCCAATGGGAATACAATATGAACCTATTAGGACTGCAATAACAAATTCCTCCCCCCTCCCCCACCCTCCAATAGAAATACAGTGCGAATACGGAAGGAATGCAACGGCAATTCACCTCCACCCTCTGCCCCCCCCCATCCCTCCATCCTTCCGCCTCCCTCCTCCTCCTCCTCCTCCTCCTCCTCCTCCTCCTCCTCCTCCTCTCCTCCTCCTCCTCCTCCAAGAGGAATACAGTCGGAGACACAATAGGAATGTGTGTTCTTATAAGATGAGGGGGGGAAGGAGGTATTGAGGAATTCGCATCGGATAGTTGCAAAATCGCACGTTCGAGGGGGCGGAGATACAACCTCCACCCTCTTCCCCCTCCTTCCTCCTGCAATAGGACCATATAGGGCTCGATTGGAGCAGGGGCAGAGGATTGGAGGAATTATTTGTGTGTTCTTATTGCGTTCCTATTGGGGGAGAGGGAGAGAGGGGGAGGGTGCGGGGAATTCACATTGCATTTCTATAATATTATTATTGGATGCGTATGGCAGAAGGAGGGAGGGAGGTGGGGAAGGGATGGCGTGGGTGGATGGGGGTGGGTGGAGGGGGGAAGGAATTCCTATTGCATTCCACATGCACACTTCCTCTTGTATACTTATTGGAAGTATAAGCACAGATTCACAAGTATATGTGAACAACAGCCACGCTCTCAAGAGGTTGAACGATTTTTTACCGTCCAAAATGCAACTTTGATACGGCCTGTGCGGCCGAGGGGACTCCCAGAACAGCCCGGCCTCGGTTTTTCATCATACGCGGGGCCTGGAGCCTCTGTCGAGCCCTTCCCCGTTAGCGCCACGGAGGTAGGTATACCAAGCAGCTGGGTACACTTCGGCTTCGCACAGTGAAGAGTAAAGCAGGAGCAACGAGAAAGAAGTGCGCCTTTTTGGGCGCAGGATTGCGCAGGAGACGTGGCAGGAAAGCACAACCTTCCTGCATCGATCCGAGTGTGGGTCACATGGAGTACCCCGGGGACCGGCTTCTTATCCGGATAGGTTTTGGACGGCCCCTGGGCCCAGTTTTGGACCCCCACAGGCTTTATTTATCATGGCGCCAACACTGCAGAGTGGATTTTGTTTGGAAAACAATTTGATGAGCCCAGAATTGTCCTTGAGAATGTCGCTCTGGATTTCGAAGTGAATTTCGTGTTGGTTTTCTTTGGCCCAGAATGGAAATTACACAACATCCACGTAACATCAATTTCGTTTTGCGCTCGCCGTGTCTGGGTTTTGCGTTTACAGAATCCATGCAAGCATCCACTGCAGCACGTCTGCAAGTTCGGTGCAGTGAAACTCTTAAGAGAGTTCGTGTCGGTGTTTTGTATTTCCGCACCTTGAAGGTCTCCGCCTGCACCGCCGTTCAACGCGGCACGTCCGGTCCGTCATAGCCCGCGCAGACGCACCCCGGAGGCGAGGCTTGCCGAGGTGCACTACGGCAACGAACGCTGGGAGGCGGGCGGTTGTGAGTGCGCACCCCTGCCGCCGGTGGGAGGAGGATCAGATCAGACACCCATAGGGCCAGAGGGCAGGAATCCAGATTTTGACTGAACGCGAAAGCCCTGGGACCGACTCAACAGCCGCGAATTTCGGATCACCTGCCGGTGGGAGGAGGAGGAGGAGGAGGAGCAGGAGGAGGAGGGGCGCACGTAACGGGGTTCAGCGCATACTGGGCTCGGCCAGAGGGCCGAGCCCTGCAGGATCCTGCGAGGCCGGTGCTCGACTGAGCTGGGTTTGATGCGACACCCCGTTATTCAGCAGGGAAAAAACACACACAGACACAATTAATCGTCGGATCCCCAGGAAAATATGGGAAAATATTGGAAGTGGGGGTGAAGACAGAAACCCAGAAAATATGGGAAAATATGGGGAATCCTTTTATTTGGGTGTACTTATTTGTGTGTCTCAGGGCCCCTTGAGTTATGTAACACATTCGCCCTTCATCCTCTTACTCAAGACAAGCGCGAAGAGCTAGTACGCTGAAGTTCAGGAAAGTGTTCAGCGATGGCCCGGTTGGAAACGATTCGCCCCTCGAACCGCATAATTGGTGTGTTGCGCAATGCCGAGGTTCTTGCAATAACATGTTCGAGATTCTCCAGCGAGAGCCCCATTCTTAAAAGGAGCCGCTTCCACCCGTGCAATTGCTGCACACCGTAGAAGAATTAAGGTACATCGAACGCGAGACAGTCTCAGGCGCGAGTCGCGTTTTGAAAACACGTTGGCACCCGTTCCCGTAACTGTTGCAAGCCTCAAAACGGGGTGGTACAACGAGGGTTAAGTTGGGTCTTTCCCTCCACAGGAGGAACATTCAAACATAGTTTTTAAACATAGCCTGGGGACTTGTTTTACCATGATTGAGTTTGGTTTGTATATGTTGTGGGTATTGTTTATATTGTTCCTTTCGTCCAAAATCCCCCTGCCGGGGGACATGCCCGACCTAAGACGAGGGCCACAGTTTGAAACACAATGGCCTTCATGCGTGCAACTCTTCGACGGTTCGAGACGAGCGTCCGCGGCGCTAAGACACACGCCCCAGTTTGAAAAGGAGTCGCCCTACATCCGTGCAACTGTTGACCCTTTGGAACCTCGCACCATTCACTTCGAGAAAGGCAAAAGCTGTGTTTTGACAACGGACCCGCCTTCCCGGTAGCTTTCAGAAATCGCTCAAGCGGATGTGCACAGCGTGCGGCGAGAGCCGCATTTTGAGAACCGCCAGCCCTCCATGCTTGCTGTTCCTCCTGGCGCCCTGCATCTTTTCTACGATGGGGGCGTTCGTTAAGGAATGTGCCTAGGCGGCTTCAGACCCTGGAGGGTTCCTTATCTGATGAGGGCGGCGGTCGTATCCATGGCCGATCCGCGATTGAAGTTCCACCGGCTTCCATGCGCTGGATTCCTTGGTTCCTTATCCAATGCGCCTACCGTAGTCCTGCGGATCATGACCCACCTCGTTCCCTTCCTTTCCCTCCTCTCGAGTCCTACCTTCGTTCTCGCTTCTGCTCGTCCCTCCCCCTTTGCCCTCTGTGATGCGGCCTATCGGGATCCACTCAGGGACTTGACGAGGGCTTGCAGCAGCCACCCAGCGCTGCGGATCATGACCCACCCTTGTAGTGCAAGTCCGCTCTGTCGCGTGCGCGATGGGAGCCGCTGGGTTGCGGTTGCCGTTGCTGTCCCCCCCCCGCGCGTTTCGCGCTTCCCTCCTTCCCTTCTCTGCCGTCCGTCCTTTTCCCTCCCCACCCGTGGGCGCGAGGTTCACTGCGTCGCGCGATCATCCCGAGGTCCGGTCAGGGGCAGTTCGCGCGCAGGCTCGTGGAGGCTTTAAAGGCTTAAGCTTCTCTGGACGACGTCGCCGTCGCCGACGTGTCCCTGCCTTCCTTCCTTTCTTCCCGCCTTCGCCCTGCCCTCTGCTCGTCCTCCCCCCGCCCCCCCGCCCTCTGCGATAGTGGCTTGTCGGGATCCGCGGGGGGCTTCTCGGGTGCTGATGGCTGCCATCTTCGGGGCTGGTGCCCGCGCCCTTCGGGGCCGGTGCCCGCGCCCGCGCCCAGCTACGCGTCCGGGCCCGAGCCCGAGCCCCGAGCCCCGAGCCTAAGCCCGAGTCCGAGATGAAGCGCGAGCCCGAGCCCGCCGATAAAGGCAACCAGCTTCGCCTTGCTCAAGGCAAAGGTTCGTGCCTTCAAAGCGTGCCTTCACACACTGTTGCCTTCAACGCAAAAGCGTTTGCGCAAACAAGTGTATCTTCCAGGCCTATTGCCTTGCAGGAAGCGTGTTTCGCCTTCACAAAACAAACAACGTGCGTTCGCCTTGAAGGGGCATCATGTTTCGGAAGAGGGCAATTTGCTTCAGTGGAACAGTTTGCCTTCAGTGAGCCCCCCTTATAGGGCTGTCCTCTGCAGCCGAGGCCCCAGCTCAGCACTTCGCCGCGCTTGTGTTGAGTGCTTCATGTGCGGCTTCTGCCTGGAGCCAATTCGGCGGCGGTTCGCCCCGAAGGGCAGGAGGGAGGCTGGTGCAGTTCTACAAACCAATTCCCAGTGCAATCATCGAACGTGGCAGGGCACGGCATGCAAACACTGCCACGCTGGAATGTGAGATGTTGCTGGTCTTTGAGCGCCCTTTGAGGTTCTTTTGACGGAGCCGCCCGTGTGGCAACTTCCTCTCTCCCTCCTCCTGCTCCCCCCCACCGCCGTCCCGCCTTGGAGCGAGGCAGAGGTCTGATATTGCCCAGCACTGGTTCTGGCCTGCATGCAGGAAGTTCTTTGAGGCGAGGTTCGAGGTTCTGGATTCGATCAGGTTTTGTGCGCTTCTTGTCTCCATTCGGGCCCGGGGGCCTCCAAAAACGGACCCAGGGTGAAACTTTGCAGCAGATGGACCCTGGGAGAGGTCTGGGGACAGACTTTGAACGGTTCTGCCTGTCATTCCCCCCTCTTGGCAGATTTTCGCGGGGCCTGTCCAGCTCAGACCCCCAGGGCCGCCTCTGAGTCCCGCCCCCCCCCCCGCGGTGTCAGAAAGCAACGCAGCAGTCGCCGCGGCCTGAACCTGTCTTGCCGGTACTGCTGGCCTTCGATGTGTGGGGCGGGGGCGCGCGGCGGGAGGGCTGTGCGGCACGACGCGCGCCGGGTTCGGCGGGAACGCGGGGCGCCGCGCGCGCTGCAGGCCGAGCTGGCGCGGCAGCAGCAGGCCCTCGGCGCTGCCACGGGGGGGGGGGGGGGAGGCGGCACTCTGCAGCGATCTATGCCGGCTGGGTGGCCCATGCTCCGAGGCGGGAATTTATACATGACCACCGCCTGGAGGATCAATTTTCGGGGACCTCGCAGCAGACGGTGGATATGGATATATTCGGGCCCCCGGGGGCCAAAATATGTCCATATCCGCCGCCCGCAGGGGCACCAGGACGTCGTTTCCCAGGCGGTGGATATGGATAAATCCCCGCCTCGCACATGCACCCACTGGTTCCAGCGAGCAGGAAGGGGCGAAGAGGTTCGAGGTTCTGGGCTCGAAGAGGTTTTGGGAGGCCTTTCTCGGCCTCTGGGGGCCTTTTCGCGGCCCCAGGGCCGTCAAAAACGGAGAGGGGGTGTGAAAAGTTGCAGCAGATGGACCCCGGGAGTGGTCCGGGGCACAATTTTGAACGGATTTGCCATTCATTTTTTTCATGACAGATTTCTCGTGGCCCATTCAGCTGAGCTCCCCGACCGACTCCAAGGCGGGAGGGGCCACGGCCAGGAACGTCTGCTCCGCTAACGATAAGGAGGACAGGGACTCAGGGTACCGATGCCGCCGCTCGTCCTGGAGAGCCCTCGTCCCCACGGCTGGATTCTCTTCGAAGTTCTCGCCAGAGTGCACCCCGAGAGAGACTCGGAGACTTGCGGCATGGGTAATCCCCCCACTAGCGTGTCGTGCCGCCGTTTCTGGCCTACCACGCTTCGGGCCGACAAGCGAACCACCTTCCGGACCCCAGGGATCCACGTCCCGAGCTTTTCCCAGCTTCCTGCCTCGCGGGGCGCAGCGACTCGACATCAGCGTGTCGCCAGGGCCGCCACCGCGACACGTCGGGCAAAATGTCCGCACCGCAGATGTGTACACGGCGTCGTCTGGTCGGCAGCCAGGGTGCTCGGCGAAAGGTCCCTCAGCGCAAGAGCCTGGCGTATAGGCGCTAAGGGCATCCCGTGGCTCGAGAAGGCGGTGCGTCCATGCACCGAACTCCCTGGCCAGCTAAGCGACGTGGTGTGAAGGTCGAGCCCCTCCCAGGGAGGTATGTAACAGTCGAGCCCCTAACACATATTAGTGTATACGTAAGGTAATATATATATATGTATATATATATGTAAATATGCTCAACCCCCCTGTCCTCATACCTTTCGCCTCCTCTCGTACCCTCTTCCTCTTCATTCGCCTCCTCATCCTTCTCCCCGTCCTTCTCGTTCTCATCATCCTCATCCTCCTCCCCATTCTCCACACTACTCCTCATTATATTTCTCCTCCTGATTTGCCTCATCCTCATCATTCCCATCAATATTCATCATAATCGTGTTCCTCATTCTCTTCATTCGCCTCCTCATTCTCCGTCTCCTCCCCATTCTCCTGAGTCCTCTCATTATTCTCCTCATCCTCCTCCCCTCCTACATTATCATCTTTCTTGCCTTCATATATGCGTCCTCGCTGCTTCTCTCTCTCTCTCTCACAAGCGGAATATTTTGGAAAGCACCACCAAGGGATTCCATTTTTGGACAGCACCACGGGGGGATTCTATTATAAAGCTTCTCAACAGGATTCATTTGGAAAGGACCTCAAAGGGATTCTTTTGGAAAGCCTCACAACAAGGACCTTTGGAAAGCACCGCAGAGGGATTCTAGCGAAAAGCCTCACACCTGGACTCCGTTGGGAAGCACCACGGAGGGATTCCATTGAAAGCCTCACAACAGGAACCCCTTAGAAAGGACCTCAAAGGAGTTCCATTGGAAAGCCTCTCAACAGGATTCCTTTGGAAGCACCAAGAGGGACTCGATTGGAAAGCCTCACGATCGGAATCCTTTGGAAAGCACCGCAGAGGGATTCGAGCGGAAAGCCTCACAACCGGAAATCTTTTTGGAAAGCACCACAGAGGGGTTATCTTGGCAAGCCGCACGCCAGGATCCCTTTGGAAAGTACCACCAAGGAGTTCCATTGGAAAGCCTCACAAGCAGAATCCGTCAGAAGGCACCACAGAAGGATTCGATTGTAAAGCCTCTCAACATGATTCCTTTGAAAAACACCTAAAGGGTTTCGATGGGAAAGCCTCACAATCGGAATTCTTCTTTGGGAAAACAACGCAGAGGAATTTGTTGGGAAAGCCTCACAGACGGAACCTTCTGGAAAGCACCACAAAGGAGTTCCATTGGAAAGCTTCACAAGCGGAACCCTTTGGAAAGCACCACAGAGGGATTCGAGTGGAAAGCTTCTCAACAGGATTCTTTTGGAATGCACCACAGAGGGATTCTGGTGGAATGCCTCACTACCGGAATGAGTTGGAAAATCCCACAGAGGGATTCGATGGGGAATCCTCACAATCGGAATCCTTTGGGCAACACCCTAAAAGTGATTCGATTGGCTAGCCTCACAACGGAAACGCTGTGGAAAGCGCCACAAAGGCATTCTAGTGGAAAGCCTGACGGCAGGAAGCTTTTGCGGGATTCGAGTGGAGAGCCTCAGCAGGAATCCTCACCACAGAGGGGGCGGAGGAGAGAGAGAAAGAGAGAGAGAGAGAGAGAGAAAAACAAAAATACACAGAGCGAGAGCGACACAGAGAGAGAGAGAGAAAAGGAAGGAATCGGTGGGGAGGGTGGCTTTGTAAGATATGTGCTTGATGTTCCAGAGACCCCCCAGATGTTCGAAATGTGTCAGATCTGTCCAGAGACCCCCCAGGTGAAAAACAGTGTGTGCTTCCAGCTATTCCAGGTATTCACGGACTACCGAGGTGAAAAATAATGTGCTTTCCAGATGTCCCAGATATTCCAAATATTCCCAGGGACTACCCAGGCGAACAACGCTGTGTCCCCACTAGTTTCCAAAAACCCCAGGTCTTCCCAGAGACTACAAAGGTGAACAACCATGTGCTTTCCAGATTTTCCAGATATCCCAGATCTCCCCAGAGACTACCCAAGTGGAACAACATGTGTTTTCCAGATTTTCCATGTATTCCAGATCTTCTCACAGACTACCCAGGTGAGAAACCATGTGTTTGTCAGATATCCCAGACATTCCCAGAGTTTGCAGCTCACTCCCTGTACAAATCTGGGCTATCTGGAAACTCTGGAAACACACACGGTTGTTTACCTGGGTAGTCTCTGGGAAGACTTTGAATATCGGGAGTTGTTCACTTGGGTAGTCTCTGGGAAGATCTGGAATATCTGGACAATCTGGAACACACACGGTTTTTCACTTGGGTAGTCTCTGTGAAGACCTGGAATATTTGGGACATCTGGAAAACACGAGGTTGTTCACTTGGGCGGTCTCTGGGAACATCTGGAATATTTGAGAAAGCTGGAAAACACATGGCTTTTCACCTGGGTAGTGTCTGGGAAGATTTGGAATATTTGGAACAGCTGGGGAACACAGCGTTGTGGAGAGAGAGAGAGAGAGAGAGGGAGAGAGAGAAAGAGAGAGAGAGAGAGAAAGAGAGAGAGAGTGAGAGAGAGAGAAAGGAAAAACAGCAGTCGATGATGAGGAGGCGAGAAGGTATTATGACAGGGGGCGACCACACATATATATATATATATATATATATATATATACGCACATATATGCGTATGTGCGAACACTTGCAGTACTTGAAATATTTGTAATAGTTGACGTTCTGACCTTTTTGTGATAGCTGTTGCAGTTGTCGTGGACGGTGGCTGTTATGAATTGTCCCAAATAATAGAATTCTTGGACTTGTTCATTTGCCACCTTTGGTATTAGCTGTTGCGCCGCCTTTTATGAGACAGCCTCAGATTGCAGCTCTGAGTTCGACAGCCAGTCAGGTGGGAACCCAGAGATTGATGCATCAGCTTTATGTGCCACTTTACTTTGGCGATCACCCGGTTCCTCTCCGCGCTCTCTTCCGAATCTGTTCATGTGCCATGCTGCCCTCGCAGAGTGCGAACATGCTCGCCAGTTTGCTCACACGATCGTGGCATGAGCGCCCAGTAGGATCCTGGGGTGGAGAGGCGCCATCTGAAGGTATTGTTCAAAGCCCAGCTCTGGGAAAGGATGTCCCGCGGCCGTGCAGCGCATCCAGAGGAGGGGTGAGGGTCCACGGGGGGGCGGCGCACGAACGGGCCGACCACGCTGGCCCCGCGAGTATCTTCGGAGCATCATTCGACGCGGTTTCCAAAAGGAGTGAGCTTTTAATTCCATTAGGGTGCCTTTCGTGGAAGATCAGCTTCAGCATGCGCGTTGGTCTGTCCACGATCGAACGACGGCATTATTTCTGATTCCGCTGAATCTGGCCCAGTCGGGCTGAATTTTGTCGGAAACTGGAACATATACATTACCAGTGGCGGGTTGTTTTTTCAATCCCATGACTTTTTGAGGGTCGGGGACGACGTCGGGGTGGTGTGGTGTATATGTGATTCCCAGCTTTCATGGGGAAATGACAAAACAAATACACCAGGATCCCGTATACACCAGGATACCTAGATCTGCGTTCCTGTGCGAATTTCACTGCAGAGCCAGAAAAAGCGTCGGTGTATAGAGCTCGGTCTCCTATAAGAGCCGGATCCGCTGCGCAGGCGGGCGCCTGCTCATGGCCAGCCCCGCGCCAGCCCACCCGGTGCGGAGGACGACGACGAGGACACGAGCCCAGACTGGGGAGCGGACGGCGAGGCGACGTGGCGAGAGGGGAGGCACGCAGGGCCCCGCGCTCCTCTGCGCCCGGCGGCAGACGGCGAGCAGAGGCCCCGTGAATCTCGGGCGCGGCAAAGAGGGGGGGGAGCGTGGATATCGTGGCGGGGGCCATGATATTTGCCCAGATGTCATGGCGCCTCTTCTCATTTCATCACGCCCCTGACCCCCCCCTCTTGGACGCCCCCCTCTTGGCAGCCCCCGAGAATCTGAGACAAGCCAGCTTCGTGGCCCTGAGTCTTATTACGCAGACCTCCAAGGAGGTGCCTCCTCTTACTCGTCCCAGAGATCCGATATCGTGATTTTTTCTATGCGCGGTCCCCGGAAGTCTCCACCCATTCCCCAGGACCTGTTCTTCATCCCGAGCCGTTTTTTGACGGTCCCCGGGCCCGGCGAGGGCCGCTCGAGGCCGAAAAAATCAGAAAAATGTCCGTTCTGGTTTTTTCAATGCACCTCCGACGCGGCTACCAGCGGGAGGGAGTGTTTGCCTCCACCTCCGCGGGCAGGCCCACGCTGCCATCATGCTGCGGCTGAACAGCGAGCTGGCCACGCAGCGCGCCACAGAGGAGCGTGCCGAGGCAGAGGCCGCGGCATCGCGCACCGCCGTGCTTGCGCTCAGCTGTCTCGATACGCCCGTTGTGCTGCGCAGCACGTGCCGTGCTCAAGACGTCCGTGTCAACACGCTACGTGTTGGCTCAACCTCTGGGCCCGCGTTCTGGCGGAACGTTTCCAGTCTACGGGTTGAGATCCGTGTCGATACGCTACGTGCTGCGTTTTGCGTATCGGGGCAGCTAAGTGCTTGCAGTCCGCCTCTCTGGTCCAGATTGTCAAGCTCGATGCGCGCCAACTTTGTCGAGCGATGCCTAGAAGCGACCGAATTGCGAGCATGATTCCGCACGGACCCCAACTGGAAGTTGCCGAGATTGCGTGAGCATGCGTGTGGTATCAAGCCGCCTTCGGCCCGGCCCGCCACCGTGCCTTGGTAGTTGGTCTGCGCGCAGCGGGAAGGATTGAAGGCCGCAGCGTATCCAGAGGAGCAAGCGAGGAGGACGCAGAGGGATCAGTGGAAGTGACGGGGGAGGTGGCGGAACAGGAGGGTTCTCGCCTCGGAAGGGGCGTTGACTATCTTTTTCCTGAGTCGCGTGCCTCACGGGGGACGCGGCGTATGTATGTACCGGTTTTGGCGTCACGGCGCAGTTCCCAGCTGCGCTCTTAGACCAGCCCCTGCCGGAGGGCTCCTGGGAGCGTGAGATCGGAGAGAGTGCGGCCTGACCTCCTTGGGACGCAGGCCTCTCTCCGAGGATGCTCCGGGGTCCGAGGCGGGGACTTACCCACAACCGATGCCCTGAGGAATCGGCCTTCGGGGACCTCGGCAGGCGGTGGACATGAATATGCTCAGGCCCTGGGGTGGCCATATGTATTCATGTCCACCGCCCACCAAGGTCCTTAGAGTTCGATCGGGGGCCCAACTCCGATCTATCGGCGATGTATAGCAAATTCCAGGTCGATGCTTCCCCCCCGCTATCGTTGCCCCTCAGATAGGCTCGGGGGGGAACGCATCGGCCCGCAATCACCAATCGATCGCTCACAATGGGTCCGATAGCCCGCCCCGCCAAGGAGCGTGCCTATCGCCGATCTATCGGCGACGTGTCGCCGATCCCAGCTCGATGTTTCCCCTCAAGCCCTGGTCCCCCCTGACGTTCTGATGCAGTCTGACAGGACTGCACTTTCAGTGCCTGCAGGCTTCGAAACAAGCATGGCAAATCTAGGACCCTGAGCGCCTGCTGCGGTCTTCGTGTGCGACCAGCGTGCCACAGCGAACATGCGCGTGACCTTCGGCAGATTCGTCGACCGCTCCACTGCCACTGCATCATTCGCGCTTGCTTTCTCTCTCTTACTCTCTCGCCCATGCCAGCGTTCGTGGGCGAATCCGCGGCCTCGTGGTCCGGGCGGCCCTGGGGCCGCGACCCCGCGGGTACGTGGCGCTTTTGCACGGAGGCCCCTCGCGGAACGCATCCGTGCGACGGTGTGCATCCGCGGGACCGCGCCCCCGGAATCCAAGCCGCGGGGGCGTGGGCGCGGCTCGCCGTTGGTGGAGGTCCCCGCCCCCGCGCGTTGGCCCTCGCACCCCAGCCGAGGCTGCTGCGGAGCGGGAGCGATGCAGCGAGGCGAGCGGCGAGGTCGAGAGGCTCCCCAGCGCCCCTGCGCCGTGCACGCGCGCGCGCGCGGCCCCCTGCCTTGTGGCGCCCGTCGTCGTCGTCGTCGACGTCGACGTCGTCGTCGTCGACGGTCGACGGTCGACGGTCGACGGTCGACGGTCGACGCCGTCGTCGTCGTCGTCGTCGTCGTCGTCGTCGTCGTCGTCGTCGTCGGTCGACGGTCGTAGGTCGACGGTCGATGTCGACGTCGTCGTCTGCAGGCGCTCGCTGAGGCGCCGGGCGTCGACGAAGGGCGTCGACAGTCGCCCGTCGCCGAGAACGACGACGTTGTGCGATGGCCAAGCAGTGGCGAAGCGTCCTAGCTCGCCGATAGGCCTTCCAAAGAACGTTGTAAGAACCTTGTGTGGTTTGCACGAAATGTTCTGAGAACATTTCTGGCTGAGACGGTCGTGCTTTAACGCGTAGGGTTTATGTTCTAAGAAAATTGTTTTTGATTCGAACATTTGTGGGTTCTAAGAACATTTCGCGGTAGGCCTACAGGAATGGCCTGGACGATCGGTCCCTGCTCAACGAAGGACCCGAGACGTCCACAGGTCAGTGGCAACGTTCCCAGACCTCCTCGCGTCATGCCAAAATCGCGAGGCAAGGTCCCCCCCCTCAGGGTGACTCCCCGGGCCCTGGGGCCATCACAGAACGACTGCTTGAAGGAGGAAGCACCCGCCCCCCAGGAAATCGGTAGAGGCCTCCAGATGTCCATGCGGTGAAGGACATCACGACGTCGGGGGTCTGGGTTAGGAGGGGTAGGCTCAGAGGGGATCGCATCGATCCCCAATCGCCCGCTGATCGCTGACATGGGCCACGTTGCTCCCCCTGCCCCAGGAGTTTGCGGATTGGCCATCTGGTGCCTATCACCGATCTATCGGCGAGGCATCGCCGATTCCAGGTCGATGTTGCCCCTCCCCCCGAGACTGTCCCCCTGATCGTCCCCCCTCAGATGGAGAATCTGTTGCAGTTCCAGCGCTTTCATTCATCTCGGCGTGCAGGGCTATCGCGAATGTGCCTGGGCCGAAATTGCTCGAGAGGTAGGGGTCGGGAGTTCGGAAGTCCACGGACTGGAAGAATCACATCGACGGATGTCCAGGTCGGGGATCGGAGTTTGCACATGTTTTTCGACCTTGCTGGGCCTCCTGCAGGCTTCTCGTCGCCACGGCCGCAGTCCCCTCGAAGCTCGGGTCAAAACGCACCCCTGTAGAACTCTGGGAGGTCAGTGTTGCTGGGGGGGAGCCAGGGATCTATCGAGTAGGAGATCGACTGCACAATTGATAAGCACGAAAGTGGCTTATTCGCCGTCTATCTACGAACAGTCTGTTCTCTTTCCGTAGACTCGACGAAAGAATCCATGCTTTGAGGTAGCTGCATCATGTAGTCGCTCTCCTATTCGAATTCGTCCAGCTCCACCCAAATGGAGAGGTGCCCCCAGAGGATCTCGCGGAGACTTGGATCTAGACGGTTCCCGCCCTCACGGTGTGGGGAGGTGCCCACATGCGGCGCTCCGCGATGTCCTCGGGGCCGTGGGCCTCCTCCTCAGAGATTGGCCCCTGGGACCTCTCCCGGGTGCGCGTGCTGACCAGAACCACGAGGGGAGTCCAGCCTCGGCGACGATGCGCGTCCAGGAGCCCCGCGAGATCATCGGGAGCGCGTCTCCGAAGCGCTGGACGTGACCGAACCCAGCGTGGCCGATGGTGGCCGGGGCTCCATCGGGGCCACAAGTGATTGCCGTGGACGTCCAGGGCGCCGTCACAGGCGGGGCAGAATCCTTCGGGTGCGCCAGCCGCACCCGCGGGCGCCTCCGCAGGGCGGCCTGCATCAAACCGTGCGGGAAGGCACTGCCGACCGCAGCGCAGGGCCGCGCTTGCAGCCAGCCGCTGGCGCAAGGTGCGCTCACCAGTGAGGGGTGCGCTTTGGTAGCCAGGCGGGCTCGCTCCAGGAGTTCAGTGTTGGCGGCGGCGTCCAGCTTGTCAGCGAGCTCGCGTTGCTCGCCGTGCTGGCTGGCGTCGAAGGCTATCAGGTCCGCCTTCGGGAGCTGGGCGCTGTAGGACAGCACGGCGGCCCGCAGCGCGTCGTTGTCACCCATGTCGCTTTCGGAGTAGCAGGCCCAGAGTTGCCTGCAGAGCGCGGGGCAAGCCACCCGGAAGGCCAGGCAAGCGGCTGGCACGCGCCTCCCTGCTGAGCGCAGCCCCAGGCCGCCTGCCTTATTGGAGAGCTGCGCATGGGCCCGAAAGTCGTCGCCAGAGGAACTGCTGCTGAGTTTCTCGAGGCTGGCCCGCGCTGCGTTGTCCAGGGGAAACAGGGCATCCGTTTGCGCAGTGGGCGGGCGGGGCAACCTACGCTGAGTAGTTGCGCTTGGAGTAGCTGGCGCAATGCCCGAACAAGTACAGCGCGACTTGGACGTTTTCCAAAGCGTCCAACTCCTCGAGGAGCCTGGTCGCCTTGCCGACTCGCTGCTGGGTGTGCTCACGGAAGACGGCGTCGCTGCAGATTGGCGCGCCCAGGAGTTCGAAACAGCCGTCTGTGCACAGGCGGGAACGGTGAGGGAAGACGCCCAGGCCCGCTTCGTTGTCGCTGCCACCCGCGGGGGCCACTTCGCACTTCGTTGGCCCCGTGCTCTGGCGGAGGCGCTGCTGCCAGATCGCCCGCCAGCAAGCGGAGGAGGCGCGCCACCGCTTGCCAGTCGCTGGTCCAGGTACCGTCGTCGGGCAAAACATGTCAGGTCCACGTCGCCCGTGGCAGCGGGGGCGGAGGGCCCGCCTGGCGGCTCGGTCCAGTGCCAGGGAGAAGAGCGGCGGTCCAAGAGGGTCGTCCCCTTGCTGCACGCCGCACTCAGAGAGGACGACTGCCGGCCCAGCCAGAGCAGTGAGGGGCCCTGGTAGCACCAGAGGGCCCACTGCGCCAGGGTGGGAAGCTCCCCGTGTACCGCCTTCATACAGACGTGTTTGGCGGTCGAGGGAATTGAAAATGTTGCTCATGTCTAGCCTGTCGAGCACTTTCTGCTTGCCGCCCGCGTGGCGCCCAAACCATTGTCGCGAAACGCGAGCCGCGGCCTCGCAGCCGCCCGGGAGGGCGGTTCCGACTTGCATCGGAGCGAGTCGATCTCGGGCGGCGTCTGAGACTTGGTTGCAGAGGCACTTCGCCACCGAGCGCCGCACGGTCTCGCCCACGGCCACCAGTCGAAGGCGGCCGTCCTTCTTGGGGGAAGCCACCAGGGAGGCGCCGGCCAAGTAGTCGGCCAGGCGGGGGGAAGTCTTGGCGAGGAGGCTGGCGAGGCTCTGCAGCTGCTGCAGCACCACGTCGCGGTTGGCGGCCGTCAGCTGAGCGTCCGGACCAGCACTGCTGCGGTGACTTCCACAGGGGGGCACTTTGGTTAGGGCCGCGCAGGTCTTTTGGAGTACTGCGCGTCCTCCGCGGGTTTTAGGCAGCGCGGCGCTTTCTGGGCCCCGCCTGACGGTTTCGCGCTGCCCCGCCACTCTGCAGTTTCTACTCAAAGCGAAGCGCGTTCCCAATCCAGCGTCGGCAGAGGTCCTTGTTCAGAGCCTCCGCCGCGTTCCTGCTGCTGCGGCATCCGCGCGTGTGGGGGCTGATGACGAACTTGGACAGCATTGCGAACTGGAACCGCGTTTCGCTTTTTGTGTTCTGTTGCACTGCGAGCAGTTCACCCCAATCAAGCAGCGCGCCCAGAGGTCCCGCGCCTCTTTGGGCACGTAGCGTCTTGTTCTCGCTCGTCGGGAAAGACCTCTTGCCAGCCAGGCAAGTCCCGCGGCTGGAGGGCGTTGTCGTCAGCGCCCGACGCCGCGTCGGCAGCCACAGCTTTCGCAGCTGGGCGGCAACCTGGGGACACGCGCCCCAGCGCGTGTGGAGGAAGCGCTGGCACACGGGACATTACGACAAAGTGTGTTCGTCCAAGTAAGCCTGTAGGACAGGCGGGAGGCCTGGGAGCCTACTGGCACCGTGTTTGTTGAGGTGTCATCGCGTGGCTGCGCGCATGTTATGCCTTTCCGGCGCTGGCGGCCAAGTCGGCGCGCGGGCGCCCAGGCCCAGTGGGCGCGGCGTTGTGAACGTGCGGCGGCGTCGTCGGCCGGTTCAGGCGGTGGCGGGATCTGCGTCCAACGTATTTGTTGAGCAGGGATGGCATTGCTTTGCATTGACGTTGCTTGGCGCTGCCCGTCGTCACTGCCATTCGTTGATCAGCATAGTGTTGCATCGCTTGGCGTTTCAGGCCATTGATTGTTTGACACTGCTCGTCGTTGCTTGGGATTGCTTTGTATAGGCTTGTATGTGTTTCCGTTGCTTGCCACTGCGTTGATTTGGTTGGCATTGCCCAGGGAACCTGCGGAACCTGGGCACGGCCTGTTTTTCAGAACAGTCTGACAAACAAAGCCGAGGCACCTGGGTACGCTCCATCTCACAATAGTGGGGGGGGTCAAAAAAAATGTTTGACAGCTCGTTTTGGACCCCCCCCCAAAGAGCGGCGCAGTTGCGCCAAAATCCAGGCCCCCCCCCAAAAGTCGGCGTCGGCGTCGGCGTCGGCATCGTCGTCGCGGGGGGCGTCGCTGTCGCGGGCGTCGTGGTCGTCGGCGTACCATGTCCACTGCCGGCCGGTGCAGGGCCACCACCCACAGAACAGGTACAAGTCCTGCAAGTAAGCCCAGTTGGGGGAAAACACGTAAGGTTTCCAATGGTTTCTGGGCATCGCTCGGACGTGTGCATTTTTTTCTCGGCGAGGACCCTGGAGGAGCATCCTCGACCATCGAGCAACAAAAACACGCACGAAACCGAAAAATGCACGGGAAATGGACGTCCGAGCGACGGCAAGGTTTGGCCCTCCTGATCCCGCCCAGTGATGTGCCCAGGAGGGCCTCAGGACGGTCCCTCGGGCCCTCGGGGCCATCGGAGGACACGTGGGACGTGTGGGCTCCCAGCCACGCCTCAGAGGCCTCCACAAGCGACAAGCCACGAGGGCGCCCGAGAATTCTGGCGCTCTCGCGTCTTGGCCCTTCAGTGCTGACAATGCTGTCCTTCTTCAGGACGCTGAGGGACCTGATGACAATCCCCTCAGTGCCTCAGGCACGGCGGCGGATATTAGTCATCCAAGGCGCAATTATGTAGATTGTTTGTACACGTCTAGCTGCGGAAGGGAATGCGAATCCAACCTCCAATTTTCTAACCCACAGTTTGGGTACATCCCTCCAGAGCTTCCAGTGCCTCTACCCAGCCTGTCGAGACAGCCGCGGAGAGCTCCCAGAGACGCACGATAATCTCGAAGAGTGCAAGGGTGAGCGACAATAGACTGCAAGGACAGCTTCGACGCACATCAAGTCGATTTCGGCACATTGCGTGAGTCGCATAGTTTTCACTACTTTGCTAACACCTCAGAGATTTCACTGCACAGCTTGCACCACGTAGCGTGTACCATATAGTTTGCGCCACATTACTCGCTTCGCATGTGCTTGCGCCACCCCGCATTACGTACTCCACCTAGCTTGCACCTCATAGTGAGTTTACCTCGTTGCTTGCAGTGCGCATCGTTCACCGCGCAGCTTGCAAACCCAGGTTGCAAGAGCTCTCTGCTTGAGGCAGACGCTGGTCACCAGTCAATGCCATAGAATGTGAGGGGGAGGTCCAGCGAGAGCCCCGTCATGAGCAACACGACCCCACGACGGCCCAAGATGGGCCAGACACGATAACAGACCACTCATGGTCCTCATGAGACAGGCCCCACACCATGCGGCCAAGAGGTTCCCTGCTGGTCAGGGAGCCCTCTGACGCGTCCCATTGCCTTTCGAGACTGCTCCGCGCCCGCCCAAAGATCACAGAGCTCTCCCAACCATGAGGCCTAGCCCCCCTGTGTGCGCCCCATGGCGGCTCCTGTGCCTTCCTGTGGTAGTAGTAGTAGCAGTAGTAGTAGTAGTAGTAGTAGTAGTAGTAGTAGTAGTAGTAGTGGTGGTAGTAGTAGTAAGTAGTAAGTAGTAAGTAGTAAGTAGTAAGTAGTAGGTAGTAGTAAGTAGTAAGTAGTAGTACGTAGTAGTAGTAGTAGTAGTAGTAGTAGTAGTAGTAGTAGTAGTAGTAGTAGTACTAGTAGTAGTAGTAGTAGTAGTAGTAGTAGTAGTAGTAGTAGTAGTAATAGTAGTAGTAGTAGTAATAGTAGTAGTAGTAGTAATAGTAGTAGTAGTGGCAGTGGTAGTGGTAGTGGTAGTGGTGGTGGTAGTGGTAGTAGTGGTGGTAGTAGTAGTAAGTAGTAGTAGTAAGTAGTAGTAGTCGTAGTCGTAGTCGTAGTAGTAGTAGTAGTAGTAGTAGTAGTAGTAGTAGTAGTAGTGGTAGTAGTAGTAGTAGTAGTGGTGGTAGTAGTAGTAAGTAGTAAGTAGTAAGTAGTAAGTAGTAAGTAGTAAGTAGTAAGTAGTACGTAGTAAGTAGTACGTAGTAAGTAGTAAGTAGTAGTACGTAGTAGTAGTAATAGTAGTAGTAGTAGTAGTAGTAGTAGTAGTAGAAGTAGTAGTAGTAGTAGTAGTAGTAGTAGTAGTAGTAGTAGTAGGAGTAGGAGTAGGAGTAGGAGTAGGAGTAGGAGGAGGAGGAGGAGGAGTAGTAGTAGTATAAGTAGTATAAGTATATGTAGCAGTAGTAGTAGTAGTAGTAGTAGTAGCAGTAGTAGTAGTAGTAGAAAATGAAGAAGAAGAGTAAGAAGAATAGGTAATAGTAGCAACGTAGAAGTAGAAGTAGAAGTAGAAGTAGAAGTGGTGGTGGTGGTAGTAGTAGTAGAAGTAGTAGTAGTAGTAGTAGTCGTAGTAGTAGTAGTAGTAGTAGTAGTAGCAGTAGTAGTAGTAGTAGCAGTAGTAGTAGTAGGAGGTAGGAGGAGTAGTAGTATAAGAAGTATAAGTATGTAGCAGTAGTAGTAGTAGTAGTAGTAGAAGTAGTAGTAGTAGTAGTAGTAGAAGAAGTAGTAGTAGTAGTAGTAGTAGTAGTAGTAGTAATAGTAGTAGTAGTGGTAGTGGTAATGGTAGTGGTAGTGGTGGTGGTAGTGGTAGTAGTGGTGGTAGTAGTAGTAAGTAGTAGTAGTAGTAGTAGTAGTCGTAGTCGTAGTCGTAGTAGTAGTAGTAGTAGTAGTAGTAGTGTAGTAGTAGTAGTAGTAGTAGTAGTAGTAGTAGTAGTAGTAGTAGTAGTAGTAGTAGTAGTAGTAGTAGTAGTAGTAGTAGTGGTAGTAGTAGTAGTAGTAGTAGTAGTAGTGGTAGTAGTAGTAGAAGAAGAAGAAGAATAAGAAGAAGAGGTAGTAGTAGCAACGTAGAAGTAGAAGTAGAAGTAGAAGTAGAAGTGGTGGTGGTGGTGGTGGTGGTAGTAGTAGTAGTGGTCGTCCCCGAACGCAATGACGACGTCGTCGACGACGGCGACATCGGCGGCGGCGGCGGCCGCTGCCCCTGCGCAGGCTGCGGGGCCGTCTCGCCTCGGAGACCGCCGCGCTGGCACGGGTGCAGAGCGACCGGGAGCAGAGGAGTTTTGAGGGCGCGCCCCGCTTTCTCGTACGTCAAGCAGTGGCGAATCGTCCTGGCGAGCCTATAGGCCCACCAAGGAATGTTCTAAGAACCAGTTGTGGTCTGCACGAAATGTTCTTAGAACACTTCTGGCTGAGACGATCGTGTTCTAGCACTCCGTTCTAAGAACATTGCTTTTGATCTTCGAACATTGTTGGTTTCTAAGGACATTTCGTGGTAGGCCTATAGAAGTGCCAGGACGGTCGGTCTCTGCTCAAATACGGGAACGGGAGAAACCAGAGCCCCGAGTTACAGATCGGCGGCGAGCGAGGGGGGGGAGAGTGAGAAGGCGGAGGCCTGCTCAGAAGGCGGCCGGGCTTCTCAGGAGCCCTCCGGCCGTCTCAGAAGTTTTTTGGATGCCTCCATGGGGAAGGCCCAGGCAGCCTTTCAGAGACCCCTGTTCTTTTTGGAGTCGGCCGGGGCCCGAGGTGGCCCAGCACTAGTACCGGCGAGCAGGGAGGGGCAGCCAAGTTCCAGGCTTTGGATTCGAGAAGGATTTTTGACCTGTTTCTGTCTCCCGGGGCCGTTTACGGGCCCCAGGATCGTCAGAAGCGGATCCGGCGTGAAAATTGGCACCAGATGGACCTTGGTGGGGGGTCCTAGGACCCATCTTGATCGGATTTGGCTTCGTCCCGTTTAGCAGAGCCCCAAGCTATACGGTCAGGAACTTCGGGGTTTAGCGTGTCGCGCCTCCGGTTCTGGTCCACCGCGCTTCGGCGCGACGCGCTATCCACTTCCCAGTCCTCGGGCACCAACGTCACGAGTTTTCCCAGCCTCCCGCCCCTTGGAGCGGAGCCACACGATATCCGCTCGCATGGCATAGCGTGTCGCTGAGGCCGCCGCCGCGACACGCTAAGCGAGGGTCCCCGACCGCAGAGGCCGTTTCTTCATCCCCTGGCGATCCCAGGCGGGGGTAGTTTGGTGGGGATTGGCCAGGTGACGTCCGATTCGCGCCAGCGCCGTTTTTGGTGAATCCTAAGAATGGTTTATTCCAAGACGGCGCTGGCGCGAAGGGAGGGGGGAGGGCGTGGCAGGTAACGGGCTATTTCAGCTCTTTTGCATGACAGCGAGGTTCTTGCCATATCGATCAATATAGTGAGTGAGCGAGTAGCGTTGGCGATCCAGGGTTTCGATATCATGTCCAGGAAGTGTCGGCTAGCCGTGCACCGCCTTATGCCATGCGGAAGAAAGGAACAGGTTCCTGCCTGGGCAGGGGTCACGTAGCATATTTGGAGGACCTCGCCTCTTCTGCAGAAGGTTGTCTTTTCGCGTATCCGACGTCCGCGGATTCGACATCGATTCGACGCATATTCGACGCCGACAGCGGCGCGATGGGACAGACGAGGTTCCCAAACAGGGGGTGGCCAGGGATAACTCCTGATTCGCGCCTCCCGTTTTCGCGCCAAAGTTCTCCCAGATTGCTCTTAGCCCAAGCTTTCCTAGATCACGTTCTGCTCAATGTAAATGCTGTCCAGCACCTTCCTGCAATAGGAGCTATCCCAGATCAATCGATTCCATTGTTTTCCCGGATCACGTGTGGGGACCTTGGACAGGGACCGACTTGGACCAAGACTATCTTGGCTAATAATGACGCGCCACGGTTGGGATCCCGCCAGCGTGTCATCCATCCGCTCTTGTCCGAAGTGCTGCTTTGGTTCCCCAGCGCTGGCAGTCTTATTGGCTTCCCCGTGGCCGCGCGTCGCTGAGATCCAGCTGCCTGCGGCAAGTCCCGCCGCCGTGCCAGCTCGGTATTCTCGGCGGCGGCCGGACCCTTCCCCCCGGGATCCGTGGTTCATACCATGGGCCGTTTAGGGCTGGCCCCGCGGCCCTTGTCGATGGCCCCTCATGGGGCCGAAGATTGTCAGAAACCTCCCGTCGTGACTTTCTCATGGCGCGAGGGCGACGGAGAACCAACGGTACGCACTCTGCAACTCCACGGGCCTCTCCTGGGATGCATGGCTGGGGCGAAATTGAGGCACATCTCCTGGAACCAACGCGAGCGCCGAGCTGCGAAGCCGAGAACTCGAGCGGATAAGGAACAGGTCCAGCACCCGGGCGCACTGAGAGCCCCGGCAGACATTCAGGCATGCCCCTCCTGAGCACCAGCCTCCGATCGCGGCCGCCTCCTGGGTCGCTCACTGCGGCCTCGTCCTCCGCCCACTCTCCTGGCATGCATTCTGGACGCAGGGCTGAACCTAACCTGTGCTTTTCGTTTTCGTGTTGTTTTCGTTTGCCCTCGTTTTGTCTTCAATCCGCCTTTAACCGCAAAACGAAATCGAAACGAAAACGGCTCACGGAATCGCCAAAACACAGTTCAGTTCCACCCTTGGTTTGGACGTATCCATCCGTGGTCACGGGGGTCGGGCAGCGGCAGCGGTATCCACTCCTCCTCCGAAAACGAGGGTCAGCAGGTGTTTGGGTCCACCCCATCGCCCCCGTCCCGTCCCTTCCTGCCCCCTCTCCTTTGGTCGGCCGCCAGCTCCAGCCATGGTGATCAGGCTCCCGCCCTCCGTGGGCCAGCACTCTACGCCCCTCCGTCCTGGGCCCCCCGCGTAATCCGTGCGCCTGAAAGAAAACTTCACAAACCTCCATGATTTTTCGGCTCCGCGCGGACTTCTCTGATCGGCACTGGATCCCCTTGGCAGCGGCTCCGGCACCGCCCCTGGTCTATTGCCAGGGCGCTGAAAGAAGAAGGCCCTGATCCTCGTGCCTCTCCTTCGGCCTAGGTCTTGGCTGTGCATTCGTGGCCTAGGTCCTAGGTCTGGGCTGCGCCGTGGCCTGAAGAGCCCCGTCGTTCCGTATGCCTTATGCAGCGTTCCCTCCACTAGCACTGTGCACAATGGCCAGCCCAGGGGGGAATGCAGAGCGGTCGGGCCTTCTCAGAAGGCCCGGAAGGCCCACGGCCTTCCAGGAAGTTGTCTGAGCCTGCTCCGAAGACAGACGGATGCTCAGAAGGCCGGAGGGCGTCTGAGAAGCCCCGCCCCCTTTTGGGAAGGCTTGCCATTTTCCTCGACCTGCACCTTCCGCACCTTCTGCGCGGCACGTGCCGCACCGGTGCGGAAGGTGCAGGTCGAGGGTTCTCACTTCCCCCCGGGGCACGCCGCCGACCGGCAGCACCATGGCCGTAGGTTTGTGGACGTCGATTCATGGAGAGGAAGTTTGTTGCCAAGTAATCCCCAGATGCCAAAACCATGTTTCAAACATGTGTACAAACATGCGTGAAACATTTTTAGAACATAATTTACACTATTTAAACACATGTTTAGTTCAATGGGAGGATTGTTAGAGTGTCCATTGTCATGGCGTCCACAACTGTAGGCTTTCCGTGGGAGCGCCTTGCGTCGCCATGCGGGAAAGCTGGTTCTGAGGGGCAAGGGGGCACCAGGTGTTTCGCTGTTTTCGGGCTCTCAGGGCCTCTCCACGGGCCGGGGTTCTGTCAGAAAACGGAGCAGGATGAAGATCTCGTCCTGGGGGAAGGCCCCCGTGTCCAGGACCCGATTCCCTCAGGACCCGGCTCCCCCGTGCCAAGCCCTTGGCATTGCTCGGGCGTGGACATTTTTTTCTTCGGCGAGGACCATCGAGGTGCATCAGCTTGCGACACACGAGCGCGCGGCACCGAAGCATGCACGGGGAGGGAAGGATGTCCGAGCGACGGCAAGAGCCTCCACCCGCCCCCCCCTCCCTGCGAGGCGCGGTGTCGTCGGGGGCGGCCGCGGCGGCCGAGCAGCTGCTCTCGGAGGAGGGGCCGGGGCGAGCGAAGGGGGGGGGGGTGATCGGGGCTGGCTGGGCGAGGGGCGCCACCAGGGATCGGTCCAGGAGCGACGGACGGCCCAGGAGCGAAGGGCGAAGACGATCGCAGGGCGAAGAGCTCGTTTTGTTTGTTCGGGGATCGGGTGCGGTCGGACCAAGGTACGATGAGATCGAGGCCTGTTCGGGGAGGAAGCCCTCCTGTTCTTCGTGTTGCTGGATGTTCTTTTGGAGGTTGCTAGACCTCCTGCCCTGACGCGTCGATTAAAGGACTGGCCGTTTTCGGTTCGCGAGGGGGGGCCGCGGCCGTCATTTCTGCGGGTCCAGGTCCGTCGGTTTCGGTCCTAGGCCATTTTCACTAAGAGGAGGTATACTAAAGGGAGGGTTGTCAACCGCCGACTGATATTCTTCGTGTTGATGGATGCTCTTGTGCATCCAGGGGGGGGGGCACCCTCGAGTGCTCTGCAGTCTGGGCCGGCAGAGGGTCTCATGTTCCTGAAGGGTGTTCTTTTTTTGTCCTAGGTCCGACCGTATAGCCAAGGCAACGGGCAAGGGGGCCCTGGTAGTGATTGGGCCCCGGAGCCCCGCACATGGGCCAGAATCAACAAGCCAGGTCTGCCGAAGCTTTAATCGGGCCTGTCCCTCTACAGGGGGAATCTTCAAAAATAGTAACAAATAGTCTGGGACTATTGTTTGAATATTTTTGGGCATCTTTTGGGCATTGCTTGAGTATTTTAATGTTTCGCCCCAAATTCCCCTGTAGGGGGACAGGCCCAACCTAACCGCAGCTGGTGTTTCTTCGGGTGGCGGCAGGTCCGGTTGGTGCAATGGGGCAGGGGGGGGGCATCCCCCAGTACAGATCACCAAACCAGGTCCCACCAGACCCAGTCCCGCCAGCGCCCGAGAGGACAGAAGGTCGAAGATCGAGAAGCGAAGATCGAGGATTCGACGATCGAGCAGCGAGGAGCGTGTCTTTGCCAGAGCCCGCCGAGCAAGCGGGGATGCAGCCAAGGTTGCAGGGTCTCGGCCGAGCGTCGAAAGAGCACCTCGTCGCCAGAGCGTGCGGGCTGCCCATTTCCCTCCCCTGGGACGGGGGCCCTGACCTCGAGGACCTCGAGGAGCGAGGAGCGGTGCGCGACTCCACGGATGGAGGGTCGAGAAGCGAGGGAGGGAGCGGAAGGGCGGGGACCGATAAGCGACTCCAAGGATCGAGGAGCGAGGGAGGGGGCGGAGGGGTGAGGAGCGACATCAAGGATCGAGGAGCGAGGATCGACCCAGGCACAAGCAGGGACTGCCAGAGTTCTGCGCGGACTTCTTCCTTGGATCTGCGCTGGGCCCACCCCCGGCTGTGCCCTTCATGAGGACTCGTTCTGGGAAGGGTTGATGAGTCAGGACTCATGAGTAAGGCTTCCTTAGCGAGGATTTCTTCGGTGATGATTCCTCGTGCGAGGATTTTGGCAAATTCCTCAGGGACTGGCCGCTCAGGGAGTGGCCCATCTCCCAGAGGAGGGTGCCCAAGGTGTCTCCACGAATTCACATGCAGGCAGACCTTGCAGCAAAAGGCCTGCCGGCCACCATGGCCAACCCCTAGCGGCGCCCCTCCACCCTGGTGCGCTCCGCGCGCCTGGGAGGGGGGTCTAGCGCCGATCCAAGAAACCCGCGTGGTCCTCCGACCCTTGCTTGTTCCTTGCTTGTTCCCCTATTCGCGGAGCGAGGTTCCAGACCTCGAGGATTGGCGGTCGAGGCTTGTCGGACGCCATCGTAGCTTCGACCGGATCTACCTGGGGATTTTAGCCGAGGAATCCGGCAGGTCCAGGGGTTGGTTTTTGAATCGATGGCCGAGGTTTGACTATTCCGGAAGGGGGATGAGCGACACCACCACCAGCAGGCCGCCTCGATCGAGGAGGTCCACGATGCACCGGACATGCTCGCGGCGTGGACAAAAATCTCACGAGGGGAGGTGTTTTGGTTGTGTTCGGTCTCAACGGGCTCTCGCCGGTCTCCGGGACCGTCAAAGAACGATTCGGGATAAAAGACCGGCCTTGGGGACAGTGTCGGGATTCCCAGAGACGTCTCGAGCGGATCGCCGCAAAGCAGGGAGATCAGGAGGACGCTCCCTGCATGCCTCCTCGCGATAGAGGTGGTGGTGCCGATTCTATCTGCCCCGGGGGGGATGGCACTCTGCCAGCAGGCTGCTTGTCTCTAGGCCTCCCAGATGGGATCCGATTAAATGGTGTCGGAGGATCTCGCCGCACCTCCGATGCGTCGGCGATGCGGCTCGATGTGGAGCCCGATGTTCCCCAGGCCGACTGCGCCGATGCATCGGCGATGCGGCGCGATCCTCTGACCCCATCAACTAGACCCTAATAACACGGTGAAGACGTGGCCTCACTGAGGTCCCCGTCTTTGCAGTAGGGATACTAATTCTGGGCAGTTTGGTTCGATACATCTGCAGAAGAGAGCCCTTATCCCTAATGAGTGTGGCCCTCCTCCGAACTCCGGTCCCCTCCCCAAGGGCTAGGAGCCTTTATTGGTTAATCATAGGAGGTCTCTATGGTCGGCTCGGGCGCGCTTCGCGGGCCCGTGCGCAGTAGCGTCACGAGTCACGCCCGCGCCCCGCCGACGCGTCGGCGACGCCTTCGCGGGCGTCGCGAGGGCCGAGGGGCCGAAGGCGAGGGGCTAAACTAGTGTCAGCCTTGGGGGGCCTCCGCCGCGGCTCATCTCCACGGCCGGATAGCGGAGATCGCTGCCGATTGCAAACTGCACGCGGTGCACAAAATTGTGGAACCCAAAGCCCGGATAGCGGAGCGCCAGAAGGCCGTCCAAAGGCCTTTGCCTTTCGGAAGAGCTCTGGAAGCTCTTGGAAGGAGCCTCTGGAGAGCTTCTGGGCACACGCTTAGAATATGCTTTTAGGGACACGTTGCAATTTCGAAGGAGGCGCAGCGGGGATTCCTGCCAGAAGCCGGAACCAGTTCCAGGGCTACCTTGCGGTGCCCGCTTCTAAAGTGCACGCGGTGCAAACAACAATGCCCGTTGACACGGGTCTGGCCGTGTACTCGACTGGTCGAGTTGCCAGAGGGTTGTGGTTCGCGCGTCTCCAAGAGCCACAGAATCCCGCGTCCCCAATTTACAGAGCAGCCGTTCTGCATCAAGACTTGGTATGTCACGCTGGTCCCCAGCACTCTTTTTTCTCCCCCCATATCCTGTGCCCATCCACATACGTTACGCCAGCGATCCGTCATCGCTCCATCTTGCGAGATGAGGGCCCCGATGACGATCCCGACCACGTGGTTAGTGGTGTTGTACGGCCACGGCATGTCCATTGCGACTGCCCTGGAAGTGCACCGGCGCACCAATACTTCCGCGAAATCCAGCACTAATTGGACGCTGCTGCTAAGTTCGATCTCGAGCAACACCAACCTCGGGGATGTCTCCAGTGGTTCTACTTATGGAAGCGAAAGCAGCTACACCTCCTCGGGTTACCGAATCGGATACACTGGGTCACAGTTTCAGAGTCTCGTCATGTTTGGCATGCGCGTGACCACCGCATCCAGATAGTCAGTCGAACACTACTAGACCTCGAGCACCTCGGGCTCCGACAACACGTGCACGAGCTGCAATTGTGCCAGCAACCACCTCGGATACAGCTAATACTGGCGCGGCGGGCGCGGCGGTTGCTACGGCTCGACACACTTCGGGCCCAAGAGGGAGCGGATGTGCACAGCACGTGCAACATGGGGGCTTCGATAATGGCAACGCTTGGGGCCACTTCCACCGCCCGCACGTCAATTCGGGTGTCTATCTTCGGCGACAGCTGCATCAACGAGAACGAGTGGGGGAAGCAGTACTTTTTCTGGGGCACTTTTGATTCTGCGACGCCGTTTCCGACGCCGTACCCAACGCCCTTCCCGACGGCCTACCCGACGCCGAGCCCCACGCCGTCTCCCACGTACCCTCCAGGTTGGCCGACGCCACTGCCGACTTACCCTCCCTCGGGTCCCATGGCCGGCGGAGCTGGAGGACTGTCCGCCACGGGTGGTCCGCACCTGCACAACGTCTACGGTGAGCAGTTCGAACTGATGAGGCCTGGCAGGCACACTCTGGTTAGCATTCCACGGGCGCACCGCGTGTAGAACGCGCTGCTTCGCGTTGACGCCGATGCGGTCCAGATGGGTGCACAGTGTACGGACATGTACTTCCAAGAGTTGAACATCACAGGCTTGTGGGCGGAGGCGGGCTGGCGGTCTCCGCTTCAGCGCTCAGGATGTGGGCGGCGGAGCTCCGAGGTGGGAGCAGTTTGGAAAGGTTGAGATGAAGGTGGCCCATGGGCGTACGCAGAAGGGGACCCGATCCCTGAAGCTCTACGTGAAGCACCTCGAGCATGCCGGTTTGGATGTTGGAGGGTTATCGGAGACGCCTGCGGCGAACAATCCTTGGCGCCCCTTGCCTTTTGGATACGCCTTTGTGGCCAAACGTTGGGCCAACGTCTTGCCAGGCTATTGGGCTACATGTTCCCAACGCCGTTGTGGAGATCCTTTGGGGAGCCGTCGTGGGAGGGAGAGAGAGAGATAGAGAGGGGGGGAAAGAGGAGGATGATGAGGAGGAGGAGGAGGGGAAGGAGGAGGGGAAGGAGGAGGAGAAGGATCAGACGGACAGCATAAGGAAACGGACGGGGGACTCCTAGGGGCCTCTTGGTGGCCTCTGAGGGCCTGTTGGGGGACTCTTGGGTGCCTTTGGGGGCCTCTCGGCATTCGGAGGCCGCCTTGGGGTCTCTCTGGGCCGTCTTGTGTCCTCTTTTTACAGTTTAGGGCCGTCTTGGAGGTCTGCGGGGCCGTGTTGGGGACATCTTGGGCAGTCTTGGGGACCTCTTGGCCCGTCTTGTGTCCCTGTTAGGCTGGTTTGGGACTATCCTGCAGGCTTCTGGGGGCCGCGGATGGAACAAATCAGATCGCCGGATGCTTGGGAACGTGGACAGCTGCTGGAGTTGGAGGTCTCTGGACCCCCTTCCCCGGCGCTGGCTCCTCGTGCTGAGTTGTGGCGTGGGCGACCCCGGGCCCCGGCGAGGGCCCCAGAGGCCGAACGTGACCAGAACTCTTCCGTCGCCAGTTGGTCACCAGCGGGAGGAGGCAGGCCTCCTCCCACGGCCGACGACGGCCTCCCACGGCCCTGGCTCGCGCAGCGTATGCGAGGAATTTCTGTCGCGACTTGCCTGGTTCGTGTTGGGCGGAGATCCGGCAGCTCACTCTCGTGGGGTCGAGCAGCCCACTGCACTCCTGAGGCCTGCAGCGCCAGAGGAGCCTCCGATGGAGTCATCCATAGCAGAATCTCCTGGAGCGGCGGCCGACGACTGCCGACGGCGGCGGCGGCGGCTGGCCGCGACCGGCTGCGACTGACGGAGGGCCCGCGCGGCGGGCGCTTGTGTGCAGAGATTGCTCGGCGGCGGCTGGCGGAGTGTCGACGACACGTAAGATCTGACCGTTCGCAGGAGTGCCCTCTGGTGCGGGCTCGTCGGGGTCCCCCCGATCAATGAGTTTGCTGCGTCAGCGGCTGCTTGCGCGCTTGGATTCGGCAGCTTTGCGTCCCTTCGGTCCCCGCACCAAAGGTCACTTTTGCCCGGGGCCACTCGTGCATGTGCTGGCCGAGAGTGGCCCGCCCGCGGTGAGGAGCTCGGGGCCGCCTCCAGGTGGGCGGAGGCCCGCCGGGCGGAGACGGACGAGGCGCGGCGGAGCCTCGCGCAGGCGCGTCGGCGGGCGGGTGCAGGAAGGATGGGGGGGGGGCCAGTTTCGGGACGCAGCAAAGGACCAAACTGTGGCGAAGCGTCCCAGCTTGCCTATGGGCCTACCAAAGAATGTTCTAAGAACCTTTTGTGGTCTGCACGAAATGTTCTTCGAACGTTGCTGGCCAGGACTGTCTGGTTTTAGCACATCGGGTTTATGTTATAAGAACATTGTTTTTGTTTTTCGAACATTCTTGGGTTCTAAGAACATGTGGTAGGACTATAGGAATGGCGGGACGGTCGGGCCCTGCTCAAAGGAGGAAGGGGGGGGCACTCTCGGGATGCAGCAAAGGAGGGGTGTGCCACGGAGGTGGTGTGAGGTCGATCGGTTCTTGCAACGAGCCGCCCGAAACAGATACCCCCAGTCGCCGGCAGCTCCCGATAGTTGCCGATAGGTGGGGCATGCGGGGGGCATCTGTTTGCGGCAGTTCGGTGCACCAGCGGATCGAACTCATGCCCCCCCCTCAGGGTCACCCCAACTTTTGGTGGATCCCGACACTCAACATGCTTGTACTACGCAGAGGTGCCGCCGACGCACCCCCAACGCATCCACCACGCATAGGATGAGATACCTCTACTGTGGGGCAAGGAGCCCAATCAGGTGCATGACCAAATATGATGAATGACGATGTGAATGACCACATATGGTAAACGAGTAACCCAGCTTCGCAGAAGAGGTGAATTACCAAATATGGTAGCCAGCATGGACTCCACAGTGCGTTATTGCATGCGGGGTGGAAGCGATATGGCGTGATGACTATGCCGCGCAGGCCATTTGGTAAAACATATGTTGTGTGAACTATGTGGTGTGAGCTGCGGAGGTGACAACTATGCGGTGTGAGCTGTGCTGTGCAAGCGATGTCGTGCAAGCTATGCCGTGTGAGCTGTGTAGATAGAAGCTACCAGGCCTAAACAATGTGATGCAACATGTGTGGTGAAGCTATACCGTGTGGGCTATGTGGTAGAAGCTATGTTCGGTAAATTGTGCAGTGAAAGCTACTTCGTGATGGCGCAGAGCACGGGGCGCCCGCGAGGCAGCACGATGGCGCCATGTCTAGGAACTCGCCCGGCGCACGGGGCACCCGCGCGGAGGCACGGGTGGCAATTTTGGGGAAAGTCCGGCGAAACCACCGAATCATGTGAGAAATGTTTGCCAGCGTGGGTCCCGAGCAGGATGTTCTGGCAGGCGGATGTGCGAGCTGCGCGGTGTGACCCAAGATGCGTGGCGGCAGCGCGCGAGGCGGCAACGAGGCAGCAACGAGGCCGCGCTGTGCAGCAACGCGTCGAACGCTCGACGTCCACCCAGCGCACGAAGCGGCAACGAGGCGGCAGCGAGGCGGCATCGGGGCGGCAACGGGACGAGCCTTCGACACGCCCACGGCGCACGCCGCGGCGACGAGGCGGCACCGTATCGGAGCCTCGGCACACCCGCACATCTCGGGAGGCGGCACCGAGGCGAGGATGGCGAGCGACAACGCGCGGCAGCGTGGCGAAAACTCCCCCCCCCCCTGCCCGCCCAGAGCACGGGCCGCCCACGGGCCGCCCACGTGGCGCAACGTCGCCGGACCCACCCAGCGCGCACGGGCCACCCACGCAGCGCCAACAGACTGCAGCGTGGCAAAGCCTCGCGGGAGCCACCCAGCGCGCCCAGGAGGCGCCCACGGTCGGTATCGTTCAACCGATCCCCATCCCCATCCCCCAGTTGTGGATACACTCCTCGAAACCCGAAGGGAACGGCCTATATCCCCATCTAGGGGGTTACATCGGCAAGTGGGGCCCAGGCCAAGCCGCTGGGGATGGGGATCGGATACACGATACTCATACGGATTCGGGCCGAACGAAAGGGGGGATAGGGTGAGGGGGGGTTACGAAATCTGCTGCAGGCAGCTGGTTTCGGCCCCGTCGCCGGGCCCACTCCTCGACACATATGGGCGCCTCATGGCGCCGGGAGGCGCCGGGGAAATCAGCTGCGTGAGCTGATTCTCTACCCTGCCCTTTGCTATCCCCCCCTGTCGTTCCCCCCGACGGGTGCTCACGGACCACAATGTGCGAAATCCGTGCAGGACCCACCAATGTTTTTAGGGGTACAAGTCAAGTCCCAAAGCGCACGCACTGTTTTGGGTCACGAAGTTTGTGACCGACAACGTGCCCGAACAGTCGATCGAGAACACAGCTCAACCGAAAGTGTGACCGAAATTGAAAATTGCATTGGTCTCGAACGAAACATTTCGGTGACTCTTGGACGTGTTAGGGAAACATCTGGCGCCAGTTTCGGTCGCAACCGGGCAGATTATCGGGCACAGTTTCGGGCAAGATGCGTCGGGCGCGCAAGGGCGACGGGCGCGCGCTCAGAAACCTTGAAGTATATGCTCCGTGCCGGGCGTTTTCCGGCTATGCCGCTCGGGAAATTACATATCATAAGAATTGTTTGTTAGTTGTTAGTGCCCGCCGTACACCTCCAACATCAGCACATTGTGATAGTAGTTAAGTCTGTTCAGAGGCAGCGTTACCTCATGAGATGTAGGCACGAGGTTAGAGGTTCGAAGTTCCGGACATTTTCGTTGGTTGCCGGCTGGTGTCCAGGCTCGGGGTGCGTTACAGCGCCTCGCCGAAGGCATTCCGGGGGTGCAGGGGTCGTCCCGAACGGCCGCCAGAGGACCGAGTTCTGGCCCGAAGGCCAGGGGCAACGTTAGATAGCCTTCGGGGGGGGGGTGCGTCGACCCCTACTCGCCCACTCGTCGCCGGCGGGAGCCTCATCTGATGGGCCTTTCCGCCTCGGAACGTGCGGACTCGCTGTCGTGGGCATATCGCTGATCTATCGGCGGCGTGTCGCAAATGCCAGGTCGACATTCCCCCATCAGCCAGTTCCCGTCTAATCAAGCAGTGGCGAAACGTCCTGGCTCGCCTAGAGGTCTACCAACCAATGTTCTGAGAACCTTTTGTGTCTTCCACGAAATGTTCTTAGAACATTTCTGGTTGAGACTGTCTTGTTTTAACACATTGGGTTTATGTTCTGAGAACATTGTTCTTAGAACATTTGTGGGTTCTAAGAACATTTAGTGGTAGGACAATGGAAATGCCGGGACGGTCGGTCCCTGCTCAAGTCGAAAGTGAAGCGCGTGCAAATCGGCCAGTGGCGTCCCTGAGGGTTTGCCAGGGCCGGCCGCCCTAAGAGCGGTAGCAGGGGCAGGTTCGAGGCGGTGCCGAGTGTGTTTCTGTCGACAACTTGGCTGGGCATCTTGCGCATCCCGCCACGCGTCAATTCGTGCATTCCGCGGGCGGTGGCGGTGTCGGTCAGTTTCTTCCTCAGTGGTGGCAGAATGGGCGGAACGAAGCATAACGCATGACGCATGACGCATGCGTGAGCTGGTTTCCTTGGGCGGCCTGACGCATGGAGAGCGGAGGAGGAGCCCGAAATCCTCGGACTGCTTGGACCCGTCCGATCCGGCTAGGACCCTCTAAACCCCTTTCAGGCCTCCAACCACCCCTTTCCTGTCTTCCCGTCCCCTCCTGCCCCTCCCTAGTCGTTCTCCGAGTTTGATTTTTTGTACGGTAGAGGCGACCTTCCCGCAGAGGTGTAGTGTCCACGTTTCTCGCATCGTCCTCGTCTTCCGCTTCCTCCCTCCCTCCCTCCCTCATCCACTTCGCTCTTGCTCCCCTCTCCTCCCTGTTCCCCCCCTGCCCCTCTCCTCTTGCCCGATCTTCCCCTCCTCGTCCTCCTGGTTCTTCCAGTATACCCATCATCCCTCCCCCCTCTTCCCCCTACTCCCCCGACCTCCCGCATTCATTCCTCCTCAGTCTTCTTCCGTTGTCCTCTTTATCCCTCGCTCTCCTCATCCCTCTTCCTCTCCCTTTCCTCCTCTCCTCACCCTCCTCCCCCTTTTGAGAAGGAGGAGGATAAGGAACAAGAGAACCAGTGTAAACCCAAGGCCCATCAACGATGTTGCAATTTGCTCTCCCTCCTGGTTGAATATGTCATTTATAGGTCCCTGCAAGGAAATGCTTCATTGCGGGAAGTGCCTCATTTGATAAAAACATTTGGGGGTCCTCAACCGTACAACAGCACCACTCATGGGACTCACGCCGCGAACCAATCTATCTAGAGCGTCTTGAACATCCCATATTGTGCCAGAGCGCCTCCTCGGACTTCGACACTGCGATTTCACGTGGCTGCTGCGCCCCGTCAATCCTAAATCGTGCTGGAGCACATCTCCTCGGACTTCAATCATGCAAGTCCTTGAAACCAGTGCAAGCTTGTAGGCGAGCGTGTGCGGCGTTGAGGCGGGAGTCACACTAAAATAAAAGAGCCATCCTCCATGCTTAGCACTATGGCAAACTTGTGCGAGGAATGTGCGCGGCGCTCGGGCAAGAGTCACATGTTGAAAGCATGCCGCCATCCATCTTTGAAATAGCTGCAGTGTTTTACGAGGAATGCGCGCAGCGCTGAAGCGAGAGCCACATTCCAACAACGGCCAAACAGTTGCAACTTCAAGTTCCAGGATCACATATGGTGAGGAAGCCCTCGGCGAAACGCCCGGCCCGCCGCGTACCCACACGTCTTGGGGGTGCAACAGGGAGGAGTGACTTACAAGGACCCACCCTGGGAGGAGGAGAAGGAGGAGGAGGAAGAGAAGCAGGAGGAGGAGGAAGGAGGAGGAGGAGGAGGAACAGGAGGAGGAGGAACAGGAGGAGGAGGAGGAGAAACCCGGAAGTCTATGAATGCATACAGTAAACTTGTTATTTCGCGTATGACGCAAAGTTCAATCAATTGGCGGGGAGGCGTGTGGTGCCTTCCCTGAAGTGTCGGCCAGGCGTATGGTGTCCAGGCCTTGATGTTTGGGGGACCTATGGTGTCCCACCTTGCCACCACGTCCCGCACAGGGATTTCGTACCCTCCCCTATGGTGGGAGAGTGGGTGTGCGGGCCGCCCCCCTGACGCCGCACGTACCACGTCAGGGGTGGTGGGATATGTTGGGTAACAAGCAAAGGCTTCCCTCCCCTCCCTTCCCCTCCCGCGTCCAGCTCCGGAGGCGCCAGACAAGCCTCAGAGAAACAAAAGAAGCCCCCCCACCCACACCCCCAGCCCGACGACCAAAGGAGGAACCACATGGATTATTGGGTCGTCCCGAAACGGCGCCGTTACGACAGCCTCCCGACCTGTCCCTGGTAGGGTGCTTAGTCTGACTCCCCCGGAGGAGGAAGAGGCGGAGGAGGAGGACGTGGCCAGGCAGGGCGCCAGGCTCGACCACGGGGGGGCCCATCGCCAGACCCGGACGCCCGCTGGGAATCCGTCCTGGCCGCATGGCCGATAGCGTCAGGGGGGGAAGCGTCAGGGGTTGGATAGGAGAGAGGATGATGATGAGGATGAGGATGAGGATGAGCATGAGGATGAGGATGAGGATGAGCATGAGCATGAGGATGAGCATGAGGATGAGCATGAGGATGATGAGGATGATGAGGATGATGAGGATGATGAGGATGATGAGGATGATGAGGATGATGAGGATGAGGATGAGGATGAAGATGAGGATGAGGATGAGGATGATGATGATGATGATGATGATGATGATGATGATGATGATGAGGATGATGATGATGATTATGATGATGATAAGATGATGATGATGATGATGAATGATGATGATGATGATGATGATGTATGAGATGATGATGATGAATGATGATGATGATGATGAATGATGATGTGATGATGATGATGATGAAAGGATGATTAGTGTGATGATGATGAGGATGAGGAGGAGGAGGAGAAGGAGAGGAGGAGAAAGGAGGAGGATGACGAGGAGGATGACGAGGAGGAGGAGGAGGAGGAGAGGAGGGGGATGGGAGGAGGAGGAGGAGGAGGATGAGGGGGGGAGAGGGAGGAGAAGGACGGAGGAGGAGGGGAGGAGGAGAGGAGGAGAGGAGGGAGGAGGATGAGGGGGGAGGAGGAGTGATTTATAAGGACACGGGATCGATGGGGAACTGGGCGCGCACCAGATCCAGGTCCTGTAGGCAGGCGGCGGCCTGGCCGCCCCCGAGCGCCGCCGAGAGGTCGAGGCGGACTTGGCCGCCCAGCTCGGGGAGCGCGCGGCGCTGCGCAGGTCCCTGGGCGAGGCCCGCGGCCGCAAGCCGCGGGGGCGGTCGGCTTCACGTCGGATTGACGTCCAGCGTAACGTCAGAGCCTCGACGCGCGAACGTCGTCCCCCCCCCCTGGAGAAACCAAAAGGTACCGCTAGTACTACTCCCTGGACCTCTCTCGGGCCTTGCGGCCGCAAGCCTCGAGACTCCTGGGAGGTCAAATTCTGACATCGGCCTGGTCCGAAATCCTGTTGAGTCTGGTTCAATCCCGCTTCATCGGGCTTAACCCCGCTTGATCCGGCTCAATCCTGCCTGTAATCCGCGGCCCAATCTGGCGTAGCAGCGCCGACGAAGACCTCCAATTAGTTGCCTTTGACATCTTTCCGACGAAAATGTGAAGCTTTCAATCCGGGCGTCTTTGTCAACCGATCTCGGCCTTTGGGGGAGGGGGTGGGGGGGGCGTCTCCGGCCCGGGGGGGGGGCAGCAGAACTGGGCCTGGCGTGGACAGCTGACCCTGCCGGGCAGGGGCCGGGGCTTCCCGTGGGGCCGCA